TTGTTATTTTACATGCAAACCTGAGACTGCTCTTCAGGCCATTTGTGCAGTTTTTTCCCTTGATTTAAATGTGTATCTCTGCTGTGTAAAGAAAAAGAGGCTTGTCATACCCATAATTATTACGCAGAGCTTAATTTACTGATCATACACAAAAATTACAGAATAGTTTGGGTTGGAAGGGACCTTCAAAGGACATCTAGTCCAACATCTGCAACTAGATCAGGTTGCCCAGAACCACGTCCAGCCTGGTGTTGAGTGTCTGCAGGGATGGGGCATCCACCACCTCTCTGGGCAGCCTGTGCCAGTGTTTTATCACCATCATTGTAAAGAATTTTTCCCTCACATCCAGCCTGAATCTCCCCTCTTTTAGTTTAAAACCATCACCCCTCATCTTTTCATAATGGGCCCTGCTAAAAAGTCCCTCACCATTTTTCTTATAGACCCCTTTTAAGAACTGAAAGGCCACAGTAAGGTGTCCCCAGAGTCTTCTCCAGCTGAGCAACCCCAGCTCTCAGCCTTCCCTCATAACAGAGGTGCTCAGTCCCTCTGATCATGTTTGTGTCCCTCCTCTGGACCCTCTCCAACAGGTCCATGTCTTTCCTGTGCTAAGGACTCCAGTGGGGCCTTAGCAGAGCAGAGGGGCAGAATCACCTCCCTTGACCTTCCCTCAGGGGAAAACAATGACCTTTTCCTTCCTTTAACAGCAGAGATTGTATTCCTCAGAATTTGTTGAGGAGATTCTCTGGGACTCATTTTTCAGGTTCTTTCTGCTCCACGTTAAAACATTTCTCTCTGGTCTTCTTGCCTGCTCTTTCGTCGATTACTTCTGTACAGCATACGATGATAATGCCTCTGATTAGTCAGATTTAAATTCCTTTGTTCTCAGCCTCTCTCAGATCATTAGTGACAACTGGTTTTCAGCTAGTTTTTCTCTGTGAATTTATCCCTTTTGTAAGAACTTAAATAAATGGTTGGTCTTAATGGTTTTGTTGTTACATCTGGTGTTACACAGTTTGCAGGGCAGCAACTGCAAATGCTTGTTTTCTTCTTTCTTACTGACATTTTTAATACATTTGGTTCAGCTTTTCCCTTGTAAATGGTGGGTTCCTTTTCCTTTATGCAGGGGGAACCAAGTAGTTTAAAATAGTTGTATGACAAGGCAAGTTGTGACACATACATGTTACTGTATCTAAACTAAAATCAGTGTGTGTGTATCTATGTAATACCTAAAATAAGATTAATCCAAGGCTTTCCAGCAGGCTTGCTGCTCTCATGTTGCACATTGCAGCTTTCATACAGCATTTCACAAGTTCCACCGAGTTCACAGTAGCTAAGGTTAATTCTTCATCTCCTTTTAATCTCATCATCTCACTGATAGTTGGTGTGACACACTGGCCTTCCATTCAGCACAATTCTGTTTCTTTTCTTAATCAGTTTTTGTGCTGCAGACTGCACTGAACAATCCCACTGTTTGCTAACAGGTATAGCTAAAGTGTCTAGTTCATATGGGTAATGACATAAGCCCTGACAAAGGCAATCAACCAGGACCTGCGCTGCAGAAGAAGCACAATGAGAACATTAGAGAATTCTGTCATGATCTCCTCTTTTATATATTTTAATACATTTTAGATACAATGTGTTACTCCCTGCTTTATTAAATTGGGGCAGTTAAATCAGCATAAAATGGACTAACATAGCATGGGGAAATCTGCTATGATTAATTCCAATGGCTTGCGTGATCCTTACATTTTTACATTAACAAACATAATGGCTGCAAACTGAGCCCTGGTTTTTTAGTTAACTCTCCACAAACAGGAGAAAAGGCTGCTGCCCTGGCATGGCAGAACGGCTATTACACTGTTTGGAGACTGCTCAGGGGTAAGTACTGCTGAGCCAGGATGCCCACTTGTAGTGCATTAGTTACTCTGGTACTTGCTGCTGGAATGTAGGAGTACTAGAGAGTATAAAGCAAATTCCCTTGACTTCATGGGCAGCAGCACCCATGGGAGGGGATGGGAGGCGAGGCAAATGCAGTGGTGGAAGATCATAGAAAAGACAAAGGGGCTTTTTGTGCAGTGCTTTCTCCCCAGGCAACTATGCTCTGCCTTCTCAAGAGGGAGAGTTAGGAGCTGTTGCACTATTAAATCAACAGCACAGAGCAATCCATGCACTGCTTCTTAAGTACCAATGCTAGTGTCTGCAATATCAGCTAACCTTAAAGCCCATCTGATTCCAACCCCCTGCCACAGAGAGGGTCACCTTCCACTAGAGCAGGTTGCTTCAAGCCCCATCCAACATGGCCTTGAACACTGCCAGGGATGGGGCAACCTCACAGGGAGAACTTCATCCTAATACCTGTTCTAGATATACCCTCTTACAGTTCATAGCCGTCATTGCTTTATCACTACAGTCACTTTGGAAAGGTGTAATAGCTTGAGCATTCTCACAGCCTCCCTTAGAAAGCACACTGGAGGAAACAAGCACTGGTTTTTAATTAGCACTTTTCTTGCACACTTCATTTTAGAGCCAATGCAGTAAGGAACCCTTTCTTAAATAGCATGTAACCTTTCTTTAGAAATGCTTCGTATCACTGAGCTTATACCATTAAAAACATGAGAAACTGGTTTTTAAATACACACATAAGATTTTCTCATAGATTTGGGTGGTCTTTATCTGCATGGTTCTTATCAGCTTCTCAGCAATATTTCTTCAATGTCTTTTTGGTTTTACTAAGGTTTGAAGAGCTGCATTTCTCCCTGTTGTGTACATTTAAAAGATAAACATACCTAATCAGAAGAACAGAACAGTATTAAAATACAGAAAAGTGTGTAGCTGATTAATAAAATCCCTCTTCCACCCATTGTAGCACTCAGTAACATTTCACTCACTTTAGTACTTGAAGCTCTGCAGCTTCTAGGGTGAGCCCTGATTTTTTTTACTGCAGAAGGAGGTGGCTTTGCTCATTCAGAAAGGCATTGTCGAAGCAACTGGAGGGATTTTAGGTGCCCAGACCTCACCATTTTTGTTTCATTTGGGCCTTTGAAGGTAACTAATACAAGCAAGCATACTAAGAGAAACATAGCAGTATTTCTCTTCACATTTGATGTGGCATGTAAGGATTTAGATGAATTGTGCCCATTCTGCACAATGTTCAGGGAAAGGGGCGCACAAATGTTGTTGATGTTTCTATAGGATATGATTCTTTTTTACTCTGTTATGTTCCTCACCGCTTCCTAGGATCCCCCTGGAGATAATTAGATATCATGCTGAAACTCCTTCATACAAACTGAATTGTGAAGAAAGGAAGCAGCTGGATGACGATGTGTCTGTTGCTGAGGTTGAACAGGCAGCCTGTGCCCTTGAACAAAGCCCCCGATCTCAAAGGACTTTCTACTGAAATATATGAATAGCTCCAGCCTGTTTTGGAAAAATCCCTAACTATAAGTTGAATGAATCACCCACATCAGTTTTATGTCTGCTGTTAGCTCAGTTAATAGCCATGTATTAAGAAACATGATAAGAATCACGAAAGTTGTGTCTCCTGCAGAGCCGTCTCATTATGCAGTACAGATACTAAATTGCTTTTCAAACTATAATTCTTTCCAATTTTGTTCATTAAGACTGAACTGCTTTCGTATGGGAAGGACATGACTTACACAACAAAAGACTAGTATAATAGCACACTATATGCTGTATTAAATACCGACTGTTTTTTATCATCTTAATATAGAAATAGCTTTTCATCACGTACAGTGGAGCTATCATGGTATAGTAACCAAGAAATAAATTTCTTGGCTTATTAACATTCATCTTTTCCTTAGATACTATATAAATCAAAGAGAGTTAACTGAATGTGATACTTCTATACAGAATCTTAAAGACTAATCTAATTCTCAGATATTTAAAATGAAGTCAGAAACTCCAAGCTTGTTCTTACCTATAGTATTGAGCTTGCATAGTTTTGAATAGAAATACTCAAAAATGCTTGCATAAATCTGTTATGCTTATTACCTGCTGTTTACTTAAATAAGTAAGTATGAATGACCTGCTAATCAAAACTAACTCTTTCCTTGCATAGATTGAGCTGAAAATGGTGTTCAGTAATTATTCTCTTGTTGCATTATCCAACATGAGCAGAATATTGTGTGAATGTTTTCTAGTCCTGTACAACTCGCTCTGATCTAACCCTTGATCAGTGGATTGTTGTGTTTTAAAGACCTGTTGCCAGTGAGGAAGTGAGGAAGAACAGACAAACGTAGGCAGAGTTTAAAGCAGATGTGTTTTGTTTCTCACCCCATCAGACAGCAGCACGTGCTGTGCTGATTGACCATGGCCTCTAGCAGGGTCCAAGGACTTAGCCTCATATCTTTAGATCTGTAGCAAACAAGTCAATTGTTCAGCAGTCAGTTTCCTTAGCAGTAAAATAAACCTATGCAGTATATGAAGAATAAAACACTTAGCAATATTATGGCTAGTTTTCCAACTATCCTGAGAGGTGGCACTTCAGTGCCTCCTGTTTCATGAAGCTTTGAGTCAGGTAAGGAAGATGTCTGACTCTAAATTCCATCCTGTAGTAATTACACCTGCAGTTCTTTATGAGAACAAAAAGGAAAGACAGTTTTCAGATGCTTTTGGTATCTGTGAGGAGACACAGCATCAGGGATGGCATTGTTACCAGCAGTATCTTGATAGATTTCCAGTATCTTGATAGATTTCCATCATCTTGATAGATTTCCAGCAAGCATAGGTCGACAAAACGCTGGGGGATCTGCAACTGTAAGAACCAGTTCTATTGTCCCTTGGCTTTGGTGGTTTTTTCAAGTATAGCTTAAAGATATGGTGAGTTACTCTTACATATACTTGCTATGTTGATAAATAAGTAGTTAGTCTCAGGTTTGATTTAACCCATTCTTAAATATCAGAACATACATACATCCCCTTTCCATTCTGAACTATCGGAGCTGGCCCTTTACCTGGCACTTGTTGCATTCACCTTCCAGATCACGTGAATGGTCACTGTACAAGTCCAACATCCCAGAGCTGCAGCTCAGGAAAACGACTTTCCAGCGCAGACGTCTCCAAAGCAAACCGGCGCGGGCCGGGGCGGCCCCCCTTCAGGAAAGCACAGTCTGCAGCCTGCATGGAGATTTCTCTCCCCGTCACCACAGAAGGTGGGTGGCAGTGAATATTCTGCTAGGTATTTGTGGATCTCTCGCTGGGTGCGAAAGCAAATAAGTTTAGCATGATCCTTTGTCCTCGCCCTGAACTGCTGTGTTCATCTGACTGTTTAGAATTAGAACAACCCCTCTGTGCTAGCATTGTTACTAACAAGCCTGCTCCTGAGCTCTGTGCTGCCTAGGGATGCAGTATGCTGAACATCGCCAAACTCTCACAGCCGTCCCCTCGCCTGGATCGATCGGGTGTGATCATTCATAGCAGCTTATGTACAGTGATTGTGAGAGCTGGTAGTACTAACATTTTAAACTCTCATTGTCTCTATTTACCAAGTCTCAAAATGAGTAAGATATTTTTAGAATGTGAGTTCAGGCTTTGCACATTTTAATTTCTTTTTTTATTGGTGCTGAAGAGTCTCTAAAATTCCACAATTCCTGGCCACTGTTTCTGGTGAATTTATAGCCCATTCTCTGATCAGTTTCTTTTATTTATCATAAGTTTCTTCTTTTAATGCTTGAAAAACAGTCTTCAAATCCTTGATCTACCCAAGTGCAGAGACTGGATGAAGCTGGGATACACAAAGCGGCAATGCATTGAACTTCAAACTTAGCAGAAGCCCGTTTTAATTTTCGCAGTGGCAGCTGTTTCATTGCAAATCATTTAAGTAGAAGTGTTCAGCTGATGTGTTTTTCTTCAGTCTCAATAGTGTTCCAGCTCCGCTGGTGGTATCCTTGACCCTTGTCTCCCATGCTTCCAGCTCCCCCGCATTCTTGCAGTAGAACAATGCACTGTCTGCGCAGAAAAGCTTCAGTCTATCAGAAACCGAAAGAGCATAGCATCAAAACAAATGGGGTAGGACAGAAGTGTTGATTGTATTCCATTTTAATAATAGGTAAACAGTCAGTATTTAAACAACAGAAGTTACAGTTTATTGTTTTAATAATAAAATCATTAGTTTTAACAATTAAGCCTTTTAAAAATCCAGCTTTTTATTTTAATCAAGTTGCAGAATAATTTCCTAAGTGCTTAGGAGGTAATAATCTGTGGCTTTTGTCTGGGCTGTAGCATGGCCTGTGGTGCTACAAGTACCACTAGGACCCCCTGTGATGCTACAAGCGATAGACAGTTGACAACACCATGACCCTACAAGCCATCTGTCTTGTAAGAGGCATTTGTGTCCTAACCTGCCTGCCTGCAAAGGTGTCTGCACGACAGAAGTTCTGTACAGCTGGAACCAGTACTTCCTAATTTTGCTGGTTCTTGATGTTACAGAGCAAAATAAATTGTATCACTCAGCATCTAATTTTGTATTTTTAAATGCAGTTGTTGCGAATACCTTTGTTACTAGTGGAAAATTGCTAGAATCTGTGATTACTTTTTTTTTTTAATAATATAAAATAGCAAATGCTTTTTTGGCCCTTCTGACTTCTGTAGTGAGCATACAACAAAACGAATAGTGTCTATGCGTGTGTGACCCTATAAGAAAACATCCTAATTTGGCATAGAGGGTTCCAAGATTATGTTCTTGGCTGGAACGGAGCTGATATCCTAAGTCCATTGCGGTGTCCTCTAGCAGCTCCTTCAGTTTTACTTAAGAAAAGCATTTACCTACATTCATTTGTGAGATAAAGAGCAAGGCATGGTTAGAGGCTCTCTGCAAAATGGCTCTGCTCAGTGAAGGTGTTACTATCTTCTAGCTATCATTAGGTCTCTGTTGGAAGTGACCTCCCATCACCAGAGGTTATCACAGCAGGACAGATACTGATGAAAGATAAATCCTTTGAGTTGTTAATTTCTGCTTAAATACAGAAACATTTTGCTTAAACAGCTTTCTATATTGGATTAATTTTCCAACTCCATTTGCACTACAGCAAATGAGAAATACCCACATGATCTGTCTGACTTTACTAGTTTAGTATTAACCTTATGCAGAGAAACAGGGTCAGAAACTTGGGTAACAGTGACACTGCAACTGACACTGCTGTTTCTTCAGTGACCATCCAACAATCTCTTCTTTAGGAGAACATTACAACGTTATGAACTCTTCAAAGATTCATGGGGTAAACATCAGAAATGTTAAATTGCAGTGTAGGCTGCATATAACTAAGAGTAATCCTCAGCAATCAGTTAGAAGAAATAATCCTGTTTAAATACCAAACCTACTATAAATTTCAGCTTTCGCTTGGACTATTTAATGGCTCCTGTGTGAACATTGCACTAAAGCAGATTTACAGACCTCTGAGGTGTTTGTAAATTCCTGTGCATAAAGGCAGTTTTCATCTGCATAATCACCATTTTTTCCTCCACATTAGTTATTGATGGTGTTCGTAGCATAACCCTTTCATCTATCTCTCTTCATGCACCACACAGATATGGTAAGTACCGTTGTCATATGATAGCTCGTGGTGGAAAATACATCACTGCCACAGTGGTTTCTATTGCTGTGTGTTTTTCTTCATCCTATGTAGTACCAAACTCTTCTGGAATTCTTGTATGCAGATACTGCTACAACATCAGCACTACCTGCACTTAACCAGGACATGATACTAGCTAATTCTTATATGCTACTTCCTTTCTTTTCCCTCCCACCCACTGAGAGTAAGTAGGGACACTGAGAAGCAGAACCTTAACCCCTTAAGGTCCCAGTGACCCTTGTGTGCAAAACATTTATTAAGACAGTGATACTTCTGATGGTATGATAATAATTTCTGTGTCATGAAAGATACCTGTCAGGTTTACTATTAAAGTATATCTCTTTCTAGAGATAATCATACAACTTTCAGGGATGAGGATTAAATTAAGTAACGTAAGAAATCCCTATTTAGATGTATGAGTGGTATTATTTAAATGATATTACAACCTTTATTAAGTTCAGTGAAATGAGTGTTACAAGAAAGAGACAGTCTTTAGAATAAGTGATACCAGCATGTAATAAGATAGAGCATGGTTTGGGTTTGTCATTGAGTGTGGGGGTTTGTGTACAAGTCACCTTCCAGCCAGCCTATAGACTAAAATAATTGTCTCATTATTTATATTCTCTCATTAAAACAAAGCCATCTGTCAAACCTGTCTACACTTATTTATTAGATGCCCATTATATTTGTATTCTGTGGTATTCTATCTCTACTAACTGAGCTGGCTGGAATGACTTGACATTCCCCTGTTCTTCATGCATCTCGAATTTCCAGACATGCTGCTTTGGCAAGTGGTTTGATTTATTTCTGAAGGTGTTTATACTAAATAATATGGTGGAAGGAAGGTGGCATGATCCTTGAAAGAGTCTTCACTTAGGGATAAAGAGGAGGGGGAGGGAGAAGAAAGATGAGGATTTAGAAGGTTTGAGAAAGAATATATTGAGAATAAGCATTCTCTCCAAAATGTGCAACTGCCTTTAATCTAAACCTTCTGGTTGGGCTGTTCCAAAAGAAAATCAAACAATCCTCTCTGTGCTAGGAATATATATTGATTACTTCAGAGCATATGCTGCAATAAGCAATAGATGTATTCCTAAGAAATTCTTTTTCTATATATATAGATATTCTCCTGTGGTAAATCAAGATACACTTTTTATGTCTTTGCTCGAGAGGTAGTATTTCAGGTTAGGATTTGGTAGTTTTATTGTTGTACCTGAGCAGAATTTTGATGACAGATGTAGTGTTAAACACTTCTTTTACATTAAAACTAAAATGTGCCTTTGTGTGTGGGTAAATGGTTCTTACCTTCCCTTGAGTCTGTCCCAGAGGCACTGAAAACACCTGGAGATTTTTTAATAACGCATGCTTCCAGTTCCTGCTATTTACATCCTCTCCTAATTATTTGATTACAAAGGTAATACATTTTGGGGGCTAATCATAAGATACCTTTTAGAAGAATAAATCAGTCTTCACCTCTCACACTGGATTTCAAAACCTGCCTATTTAAATCTGATCTTTTTGGTGCAACAGGAACTGCATTTCCAGCATTTTCATCAAGTGTGTTTTCAAGCAGTTTTCACACAATAAATTCTTCTGACATCATTCCTGTTAGCTGATTGTCAAGGTTTTGCTGACTCTTACCTCTTTGTATGTGCAGAAGGATTCCTGAGATAGAAAAGCATTTTTGAAGAACATTTTTGCAATGATGAATCATAGGAAGGGAATTGAGGGAGGGCGAGTGGTTTTCTGCTGCTCCAAATATTGCAAACTGTCCCGTTTCACAAAGTGCTGATACTTCTTCCACACTCAAACAAGAGTAATTCAAAAGCCGAGTAACAGCAGCAGAGACGTGTCTTTCAGTCATGTTTACTGTTATTGCTTAAACCTATGACTTTACCAGTATCCTCATCTAACATGTTAAAACTTGGAAAGCTCTACAACTTTTTAAACACAAGTAAATATTCCTCCAAGCTAAGGGTTACTGCTATTTCAAGTTCAAAGCCTGGGTTTATTTTTTCCCCCAAAACACTGGTATCAAGATCAAATAGCTTGTTAGGGTTACATCTCTGTTGGTAATTAGCCAGACATTCAATACATCATTTCTCAAATACTATTTATGCTATTTAAAATGCTACCTATTGTTCTGTAGCATCTTCTGGTTTTATAAATGCAGTATCCTTATGCTTTACTAGTAAATTCTGTAGTTGCTCAATATTCTGTGCAGTTCTCAAAATACGCTAATTTTAGCAAGAAATTAGAACTTTACAAGATCTTAATAACATGTTCTTGATTCTAAACAATCTTGTTTTCACATACTTTTGATTAAGCTGTTTCCTCCTTGCAATAATATAAGAATTTATTTGCATTGTAAACAAACCCACAAATACAGGAAATTCCGTTGCTGAACTTGTAAGTTTTCCACTTCTTCTAGTCCTTTTTGACCAGACATTTTAGGGATTTTAGGAGTTAGTGATGGCTGTGGCCATTTGTACTGATTGTATCTTGGCCTGTTCCAGCTCTGACCTCTGACTAGCACCCTATTTCGTCTGCAGGTATCCTGACAGAAACATTGGAATACAGAT